GGCTGGTCAGGTTGGCATCAATGTCCCGTTGCCCGTACCGCTTCCCATGTTCTCCTTTACCGGAAACAAGAGGAGCGTGGCAGGTGGTGGTGCCAATACCTTCTATGGCCGTCCTGGGATTAACTTCTTTTCTCAGTTGCAGACGGTCACGGCTAGGTGGTCACGCGATGATGTGCCGGCGGTGCAGGAAATGTCAATGCCAATTTTAACTTAACGTGAGGTGGTGTTCTTGGGTATTGCTACTGTTGCTTCTGTACCCACCTCCTATCTAGAGTGCGCTGTCCGCGCGTCAAGGTTGGAAAAAGGGCCACGTTGGGTAGCACATTGGGACGTTATCGGATGATTAGGTATATTTTGGGTAGGTAAAATCAGTCTCTAAAAGATAATGTTGGTAGCATCTGTCACGAATGACGAAGTCCTGAAGTTGAAGAGATGCTATCTTCCGTGGATGACGAACCAAAAAAAGGGGGACAAGGTTACTGGCCCTAATTGTATTACGGGGTCTCACAGAAGAATCAATCGTCATTGAACAAGTCTACCCACGGATATCTGCCGCAAAGAATGTGAGATTGGAATTAAATTTAGAACGAATTGTATCGTGCTACAGGATCGGGGATATCTTCACCGTCTAGACTCGCAGCCGCAATACGAATGCCTCGGAGACGCAAAATGAAGCGGGGCCCGTGCCGTGTCATCGGGTCGGTTCCCAAGCCAATGTGTTACACTGAGGGCTTCATCCGAATGCTAGGACGCGGGAAGCTGCACATGTGTGTGCCGGATGATCGGCTCGAGATCGCCGAGTCGTGGTTCGCCTAGGTAAATCCCAAACCCAGGACTCCCGATGCCAAGCGATCGCCTCACATATGTGCAGGTTGACTCGATGCAAGATGCGAATATATAGAACGCCATTGATTAGTATTCAGCTCCGGGACGTGAAGGATCTGATACACCAATCAGGAGTTTCTGTGTTCCAGAGGCAACCTTCTTCGGTTACGTGTCGCCATAGAAAGCCCAGGCTCTCAGCCCGTTTTGCGGCTACTTGCAGCTGATCGGCCAAACTCGAAAGAAGCAAGATTCCATTGAGCATCTAGGGATGATGGGCTATTACCTGATCCCTCCGTCGAATCTTGATTCGGGTTTCCAATTAATTTTCTAGAAAAATATCTTCCGAATGAAACAATGATCGGACCGCGGGTAGTCACACCATTCACACGATCTACCGACTCCATCAATACGTAACAGTGGCGTAAGGAAGGCCGTGAAGCACCTAAGCGAGGAAAAGGCGGTCTGAGAGGATCTATGAGGATTGTTATATCTGCAAGCCTTGCGATTTGTTAGAGGTGGTGGGAGCCGATGACGGCTAGACTTGTTGATAGAAGTCACAGAAGTAACCTGATATTGAGTGGTACAGCTTGTTGGTGGCTTGAACTATTCATACAAACAACTTGTAATTGGCAAGGCGGTGATGTTCCACATGCTTAATCCATGTTAAGCGTCAAGGAGGAGGGATCAAACCCTTCATGTCCAAATGTTCAGCATTGGTTCGATAATCAACTGTCTTACGCCGACGAGTGTGAACAATATCTCCTGCATGGCAGATGAGACGGCGATAGTCGGTGAGCATTCTTTAACGCATGTCGTCTCTCGGGTAGTGTACCTTGCACGAAGATGTGTGTTGTCAAGCTACAGCCTTCTTTCCTGCTCTATAAGTAAAGCTCGAGAAGCCATCCCATGCTACTTAGATGTAGCGTTAAGAAACTAGAACAAGCAAGACAATCCAACTCTATAAGCGTTTTCGATCGTTTTTCTTTCCTTTTTTAGGTCTACCAAGTCAGCGTTTCTTTTCAATATGTCGTCTCAGTCCAACAGTACTACTTCGAACGCTTCGCTAGAGGATAGAAAGATATACGGTATTGGGCCCGATCATCGTATGCCCTATTCATGTTCCTACTGCATGGGGACCTCCAGGATGTAAGTATATATCATAGGATCGAAACTTACTAGAAGGGAAATAGCTAACCGGAACACTTTCCAGGGTCGCGAATTGCAGACCCTGCAAAGGCACCGGCGTGATGTGGGACACAAGCTCAGGAAACGTCTACCAAGGGAGAAGTGAACGGCAGACGACCCAGGGTGGAGCGCCCCCAGGGAGCTCGTCTATACCTTCTTCATACGGCCAGAGGCGCTGAAAGGGCCTCTTATGACGAGCGTTTCTTTACACTCTATTCGACTTCTCGCTTAGGGCTGTGCTACGGCGACATAATTCTGAAGAGTTTCGATTTTTCATCCAATGCCGATGTCAGTGCAATAGACATGGGCTATGTTGGAAGGCTTCATGGGATCATATAAAGCATTGACTGCTACATTATGACGAGATACTTGCTTCTTCTCCTGGGTAATAGGTGGTGAAGGAAATCGGACTGGTATATGTTAAGTCACTATACAATATACAGCTGGACTATAGTGGCACATTATATCCATGCGCTTCCAATTGAATCATATGGTTAGTTGTTTCCCACGTAGGTATAAATGAAGTCACATAGTCGATAGCGATAGACTGCCGAGGATAGAAATCCTCCAATGGAGCTAGACTGCGGAGAACCCTACCTGGAGAAAGGCCTTCGGCTGTTTAGGTACCGACAGGACGGAGTCTTGTAGTAGGTGTAAATATTCCATAAGTCTGCCAGTGAGTCGTCTACTTCTTGTTATACTCCAATTACGAATGAAGCTATTCTCAAAATGTTAGCTTAGTACCGCTTCGACCAGATTCGTTATGGGGTATTGAGTGGGGAAATCCATCAGGTCTTTGTCAAGGCATATTTAAACAACGAAAAACCCAAGCATTACATGAATTACCGCCTGCTCAGCATTTGAGAACGTTATCCTACCATGCCACATTCTACTTGGGGGACAATCGTCTTGCTTGGGATCGCCGCTCGGTTGGCTGCATGTTCCGCGGAGACGTGCGAATCGTTAAGCACACAGATCTCGATTCCCAATGCCACACTGGTTGCATATAATTATGCGCTCAACGGTACCATTATTGAGCTTCCCGAGACGGTAGAGTCATGCGGTGGCCCTATCCTCACGGCCAATGCGACGACTGACCTCTGTCGGATTGTGCTTACCGTGGCTACCACTTCGTCGAGCGAAGTGCAAGTAGAAGCATGGCTTCCTGACACCGAGAGTTGGAACGGGCGTTTCCTAGCCACCGGAAATGGTGGGATTGGCGGATGCATAGACTACGCCACCATTCAGAACGGAGCCAGCTTGGGTTTCGCTTCCTTCGGTACAAACGCTGGACATAACGGTTCTGTGGGGTATGAGGTCTTCATGAACCAGCCCGAAGTCATTAACGATTTCGGTCATAGAGCTATACATGTGGAAGCGGAGGTTAGTAAGGAGCTAATAAGTCAGTACTATGGGAAACAAGCAGCAAAAAGCTATTATGCCGGATGCAGTACCGGAGGTCGACAAGGTTTCCAGAGCGCCCATTTATATCCGGAAGACTTTGATGGGCTGCTCCTTGGTAGTCCAGGTATAGATTGGCTCCACATCGTTGCGTCGAAGGGGGTGCTCGCTCGGCGTATCGGCTGGCCTAATCTAGACTCGCCAGCGTATGTACGTCCAGAGCAGTGGCCAGCCATCGTCAACGCCCAGATCCAACAACTTGATCCACTCGACGGAGTGGCAGATGGAATATTAGATGAACCAACAAAGTACCGATTCGACCCGGCGAGCCTGGCTTGCGGTACTGGCGTGCTAAATTCTTCGTTCTGCCTGAGCCCACAGCAAGTTGAATCGGTGCGCAAAGCGTATGAACCGATCGCAGATACTTCGGGGAACATCGTATACCCTGCCTTCGAGCTGGGGTCGGATACAGACGTTTTCTCTAACAACCAGGAGAATGGGACGGCGAAAATGGGCTATACCATATTGCAGGACTTCTGGTGCGGAGCCGTCTACAATGATAGTAGCTGGACACCCGACAATTTCAGCGAGATTGATATGGAATTTGCCATCAAAGTAAATCCAGGCCAGGTGAACGCAGCGGAGACAGATCTTTCGGGTTTCTATAATAGGGGCGGTAAGATCATCTCATATCATGGGAGGAATGATGAAGTAAGCAACCTGCTGGATCTTTTCGCAGAGTATCAGGCCAATACTAACGAATGGTTCGTAGACTGTAACGTCTGCCCTATCTGAGCGGTTCTTCACGAAAGTTCAGAGCACTCTGAATCTCACGTTAGAGGAGCAACAGAGCTTCTACCGATTATTCTTTTTACCAGGGATGCATCATTGCTCAAGAGGGCTAGGAGCCTGGAGCATAGGGAATGCTCAAAAGTATCCATATGATAAGGCGTTACTAGATCCCGAGCACAACGCACTCCTCGCACTGGTCGAATGGGTTGAAAACGGGACTGCGCCGGAGACACTAGTCGGCACCAAGTACGAAAACGATTCAATCGGAAGTGTTATTACGGCACAGCGAAGTAGGTGTCCTCATATACACTTCTTAAGGTAGAGCATACTGACCATAACGATCAGCATATTGCCCTTATCCACAGACCAGTAAGTGGGATGGTGTCAACGATACAAGCCTCGCGACAAGCTGGAAATGCGTATTCTCTTGATGTTAAGAATAATTGGATAGCGTAAGAATAGGATTTCATAATATTGTTACAATTCCTCGTTCGGAGAAAGAAGTGGAATTTTGTTAAAAACAACTTGCGTAGACAAACAGAGAGAGGCACAACGTTTAAAAGCAGATGAAGCAAAAAAAATGTATTACAATAAAGGGGGGAGAAATTACCCCTCCATTGGATTGAACAATATACCCCGCTAATATGATACTGCCTGACAAATGACATGAGATTATTGTGCGAAACGACACAAATCAACGGCATTCTCAATCTGCAATGCAAAAACGTGAGATTCGATATTCTAGAGAATTAAAAATTGAATTTGTTACCGAAAATAGCAAAAATCAAAGGTGAGAATGCCCCCACGCCGGATTGAACGACGGACCCTGTCATGTCGCTTGTACGAGCATCTTGTTAAAGATACCGTTATACGAGTGACATACTCTACCACTGAGCTATAGGGGCTGAGATCGAAAGTTCCTCGTTGCCCGAGCACTAACCTGTTGTGGTAGTTGCCGCCGCAATTACGGTTTATGTTAGCGGTTGCTTCTAAACGCGACGGTTCATTTCAACAGCAAGGATTAAGGCATTTGTTAGTGCCATTTAGCATCGGTGTCGACTTCTCATGATATTTTTACTATGTAGGCCACTGAAACGAGTTTCTGGTTGCAATCGGTGAGGATTTATATTTATATCTTGACTTGTAGTTTACTCCGATGGGTTTCGTTATGGGGGATGAAGATGCTGTATTCGACAAGAAAAAACAATACGTAATCACGACTCCTCGGGGATTTGTTAACTGTTTTCTACGTCAAGATGCGACTTAAATGCCATATTAATCTATTTTACGTATGCGACTAACTATTTAGGCGACTCGAATGCCACATAGATGCACGCAAATGCACGCAAAGGTTCTCAAGCAGCATTCTACCACTGCAATCGAAGACGTACGTCGTTGCTAATTGTTTGAAAGACTGGAGTCAGTTTGCTCACAATAGTTTGAACCCCGTGTTACTGGATCATACTGCCCACACGAGACTTAAGCTTAATATACGTTCGAAAACCAGCGGAAGAGAGACGAGTATATGCAACGCATTTTATTGGCAACCTCATAATTCTCTTATAAGCTGACTAATCAGATGAATAGGGAAATTCACGAGACCTAAATCTTAGGTTTAGAGGTAGTAATGAAATTTCTAACTTGAATTTTGATAATTAGGTATGTACCTATGTATGATTTAAACTAAACTTATTTCCAGCTGCGACAGGGGAAGCAATGCGATGAAGGGAACAACCAAAGGGAATCTGTTTTAAGTAAGCACTTCGGTTGAAATTCGGCAACTCCTATTCATGGAGGGGCGCTCGGCATCATCCATCATCGTCATTAATCAATTTTAGCTGCTCACCTAACAATTTCTTATCTCCGTTAGCTGTTTTCTTGCCACGATGATTGCTTTCTCGAGCTTGTGCAGCAGTCAACCGAAACCAAAATGACTTCTTTAGCTGCTATTCTATGTGGAAAGCGGAAATGGCTAGAGGAATTGTATTGCCATACGTTTGCGCCAAATGCGCTCGAGCTCTAGTCGTCCGACAAGCCCGAGTTCCTACAATTGGCCAGTGGAGGAATTACACAACAAAGCCCACGAATCCCTCCGAGAATGATGAACCCGAGCACCAGTCTAGAGATTCGCCAGATGGAAAGGTTAAGTCTGAGCCAGGGCCAATGGCTCGTCGGTTGGAAGAAGCGACGGAAGAAGCGTTATTCACGGGCGGAAGAGCCGGTAGGCGAGCAGTGGAAGAAGCAGGCTTCTCCGACGAACTAAAAGAACGCCTATTCGCGAAAGTAAAAGACGCTCAGTTTCGATCCGAACATGCGGCCGCTTTTGCTGAAGCTGGTATGCCATCTGCAGCTGGTGTAGGGACACGTCTCACAGCCACGAGTCAACCATGGACTGGTACCGAATCGACCGAAGATTCCGTTCTACGAATGCTTAACGATGCACATAAGCCATTAAATCGAGAATTGCGAGGGAAACCAAGAATGCCCGACCTAAAGCCGGTTGATATGCGATTCAACCAAGAACCGAAGATGAATCCTGGGCGTAGAGCTGCCAATGCTAGAGACAAGGCCTCCATATATTCCGGAATGGGAATCAAGGAATCAGAATCAGGTCTTAGTGAAAAGGAGAGAGAAGAGTTGCGAGAACAATTGCGCGACCGTTTTCGACCTGCCGCTCGCGCGCTGCCAAATACTTTAACAGGACTAGCTTCTCTGGCAAATGAGAGAATCGAGGATGCCATCGCGAGGGGTCAATTCAAAAACATCCCGCGAGGCAAGGGTATCGAACGAGATACTAGAAGCGATAATCCCTTCATTGATACCACCGAGTACATCATGAACAAGATGATTAAGCGTCAAGAAATAGTGCCACCATGGATTGAAAAGCAACAAGAGTTGGTGAAAGCAGCACATGTGTTCCGGACTCGGCTTCGAAATGACTGGAAACGTCACGCCGCGCGGATGATTTCAAGTAAAGGCGGTTCTCTTGAAGATCAAATGAATAGGGCTAGACGCTACGCGAAAGCGGAAGAAGTCCATAACCCACGAAAACGCAATGTAGACCAGATCGCAGTGCCCACTAATTCGACAGACGACCCTGTCATGGTCAAAATGCGACAGCAAACGCCGTTAGAAGAGAATCCCGAGTCGGCGCCGGACACGGGTGACGGTGGGGCAACATCTCAAGGCATCCCGTTACCACCACCTTTTCGTGATCCCGACTGGCTTGCCACTGAAAAGACGTACATGGACCTCTCAATCAGCAATCTCAATACCCTGACGCGGTCGTACAATTTGATGGCGCCAGAACTAGCCAAGAAGCCGTATTTCTCACTTGAGAGAGAATTAAATAACTGCTATGCTGACGTCGCGCCCCAACTTGCAGACATCATCAAGGACAGAGCTAGCAGACCATCGAAACCGCTTAACGCCATGGGGCAAACCTCGAACACTATCTTGGATCGGTTTGGTGCAGGCGGCCATACTGCTAAAGTGTATGATTCAAAGGCGCCACATTACGGATTCAAAGAGATGTGGCGAGATCTCTGGAGTTGAGAAGCTAATTGATGTTTGCCTCTTTTCCCCATGATTTGATGCGGCATGTGTTCCTCATCCAAGTAAAATACTCCCCGCATTATGTCTAGCTCTGATAGCCTTAAAGCGTACCTAGACGATCCCGCATCTCTACCCCGGACTGCATTGCATATAGAAATAAGATCTAGATTTTAGGGCTTGGATAAACTAGAAATTCCCCTGAAGATGATACAATAAAGCGAATCCACTGGTAGAGGTCTAGTTTCATAATACTGTTTATTTCCAAACAACACATCAAACCCCGTTCATCTTATATCCTCTTCTCCGGACCAAAGGGATATTTCAGCGCTCGGGCCGACCCGTTGCAAGGTACCCCGAAGCATAGCCGAATTAGTTTATCCAGGAACGGACCACCGGCGTCAAGATTTCGTCATAGTCAGCATTGCATCGATTGTATGTATTTTGGGAGGAATTTTGACATCAGCATTCGAGACAGAACCAGAGCTGAAAACCAAGCAGGGGGCTTGTTTCTCTGCATATCAGAACATTGTTACTGGACGCATCACCTGTTGTATTACTGGAATAGGCAATAAGAATTCGAGTTGGCGACGGTGGCACCACTGACACGGTAATTTATGGGATTATGGGCCTCCAGATTCGGGGGCACTCGGCGTTCTCCATTTTCCCCAGAAGCTTCAAATGCAGGCGAGTCGCGACTCTAGCTGTCCCGGGTGGATGTACATAGTCGAATTCTCCAGATTCTCTCCACTCTCTCCTCCTTTTTCTATTTTTTTCTTCGGTTAACTTCTTTTTCTTGTTTTCTTCCGTCCTTCTTTTCTTAATTTTCGTTCCAATTCCTTGTAAACCACAATCGTAACATCCCACACGCTTTGTATATAGAAGCGCCATCGTGCCCCTCCGTCTGCCCCTCCAAGGCCAAGCCTTACACGTTGACGAGAGCTTTCGAGCTCGAATCGTGACAAGATGGCTTCGCCCGTAGCATCCGCCGCTCTCAAGGCTCGAGTTAGCCGACCGTCTATGCTAAAGAAGCTATGTCGCCCCGAGGATATGCTTCACCATTTCCCCAATGGCGCCTACATTGGCTGGTCAGGTTTTACGGGCGTTGGTTATCCGAAGTGCGTAACCTGTTCTCTATTTCCCCAGCGTGTAACCAAATGATCTTAACCTCGAGTACAGAAAAATACCCACGTTCTTAGCAGACCACGTAGAGAAGAATAACCTCCAAGGCAAGCTGCGATACACATTATTTGTCGGCGCCTCTTCAGGAGCGGAGACGGAGAACCGATGGGCTGGCTTGGATATGATTGAGAGGCGTAGCCCCCATCAAGTCGGAAAGGCCATTGCGAAGGGTATTAACGAAGGAAGAATTCAGTTCTTTGACAAGCATCTGTCAATGTTTCCCGTTGATTTAGTATACGTAAGTCAACAAAAACATAATGATCTATATTCCATAGGACTATAGAACACTGACGTCAGTAGGGATTTTACACCAAAGACCGACCGAATAACAAGCTAGATGTTGTAGTGGTAGAAGCAACCGAAATCAAAGAGGATGGAAGCATCGTCCCCGGTGCGTCGGTTGGCGCAACACCAGAACTTATCCAACTCGCAGACAAGGTAGGAAATCTAGAATATGAGCACCAAAACTAGAGCTAATTGGAACCCGCCTTATTAGATCATTATCGAAGTTAACACTGCGATACCGAGCTTTAACGGACTCCACGATATCACGATGACAGACCTACCTCCTAACCGAAAACCGTACCTGATTATGGGCGTCGAAGACCGCATCGGGTCCACTTCTATCCCTATTGACCCAGAGAAGGTCGTCGGTGTGATCGAATCCGACTACCAAGACCAGACCTCACCGAACGCACCCGCGGACGAGACATCCCGCTCTATCGCAAACCACCTGATCGACTTCTTCGAGCACGAAGTCAAGCATGGTCGCATGCCCAAGTCCCTCCTACCCCTACAGTCTGGTATCGGCAACATCGCCAACGCCGTCATCGGCGGTCTCAGCGAGTCCAACTTCTACAACCTAAAGGTATGGACTGAGGTTATCCAGGATACCTTCCTGGACCTGTTCGACTCGGGCCGCCTCGACTTCGCCACTGCCACCTCTGTCCGCTTCTCGCCCGAGGGCTTCAAGCGTTTCTACGACAACTGGGAATCCTACCACAACAAGCTCCTGCTGCGATCGCAGCAGGTCTCCAACTCGCCCGAGATCATCCGACGGCTGGGCGTGATCGGCATGAACACGCCGGTGGAGGTGGACATCTACGCGCACGCGAACAGCACGAACGTGATGGGCAGCCGAATGCTGAACGGGCTGGGCGGGTCGGCGGAC